ATCAGAACCGGGATGAGTGTTATGTAAGATACGTATAAGGACCTCTGAGCTTACATAAGAGAGTCCTGATCTAGCCATGCAGTCTTTAGGTGGGGTTTAGCTGCTAACAAAAGGTTGGGGATTCAAGTCCACCCAGAGATGTCTCAGAAGAAAGACCTGATGATCAGCTTCCGAACAATCAACCATCGAACACCCTCTGGAGCACAGCTCTGCTCTGACACACAGGTTGCCATGAGTCAGAGGCGACTTGGCAGAAAGTAGGTTGTTCGTCTTTAACCCAGCCAGAAAGTCCCGGAGATGTTCCAGCAGGAACTGGGATGAAACGAAATGTGCAGGATGAGCAGGGTTGGGGCAGCTGGGGCCTTGGAAGTGGAGGGAGAGAGGTGGGAGGGCAAGGGGGAGAGTGGACTGGCTGACCAGGCCGTGTGAAAGGAGAGCCGTGGATGCTACTGAAAAGGAGCCACTGATAGTCTTTGCGTTTTGAATGTAATCTGGGCTGCTCGGGGAGAGCTGTTCAAGTGCATTCACGGTACTAGAGGAGGAGCTGATGACAGCTGTCCACGGGAGAGCTCCCAGTGGCCCAGGGAAGGTGGCAATAACAGAGACAAAGCACAGGTCCATCGCAAGGAGGGGACAGGCCCCGTGCTCAACTCAGGAGCCGCAGTGACCCTCAATAGCACCCCTGATGGCAATGAAAAGAGTATGCTTTTGTATATTGAGCAAGCACCAATACGTCTCTAAATTTGTACAGGTGGAATCCTTGTTGTTGTGAGCTGGTGTCAAGTCAGCCCCAGACTCATGACAACCCCATGCATGTTAGTATGAAATTCTGCCGGTCCCACCCCATCCCATGATCAGTTGCAGATCTGACCACTGTGATCCCTAAGGTTTTTTATTGGCTGATTTTCAAATGTAGGTCACCAGGCCTTTTTTCCTAGTCTCTCTCAGTCTGGATGCACTGCTGAAACCTGTTCAGCATGCTAGCAACACACAACCCTTCACTGACAGATGGTGGCGGCTGCCCATAAGGTGCATTGGCCACGAGTCAGGCCTGGGTTTTCCTGCTTCAAAAGCAAGAATTCTATAAGTTCCCCTCTGTAAAAACTTTACTATAGATTAAAAGCAGTACACCCCACTGGGACATGGGATAATTTCTACCACAGACATTATTTTATAAATATAATTATATGTTGTGTTAGTGAATTTAAAAAGTAAACATTGTATTTAGAGGTTATGATATATCCTGAATTATAATATTCTCACTATGACTATAATTATAACAGTCTTCACAGATTATATTTATTTTAGGATGCTACAATTGGAAAATCCTTTCATTATAAGATAATACATATTTAAAATAACTTTGAGATGGTTGTGGAATAGTTTAAATGTACATTTACCAAATTAGATTACATTTAGTTCTATTCACTTGGCTTCCCTATGTAGATATAGTTTTTAAAAGCTAGAGTTTGTTAATTACACTGTGCCTAAAACTTGTGAAAAGAATGAAAGATTTTTAAAACCAAAAGCCAAACCAATTGCCATCAAACTGATTCTAACTGATGGTGACCCCAGGTGTGTCAGAGTGGAACTGTGCTTCAGAATGTTTTCAATGATGGGTTTTCATGATAGATTGCCAGACCTCTCCTCTGAGGTACATCCGAGTGGACTTGAACCTCCACCCTCACTAGCAGCTGAGTGTATTAACCGTTCGCATCACTCAGGGACTCCCTTATAGGCACCACTCAGGGATTCACAGCAACCCTGGACAGGGTTTCTGAGGCTGTAACTCTTCATGGGAGCAGAAAGCCTCATCTTTCTCCCGCGGAGCAGCTGGTAGTTTTGAACTGCTGACCGTGAGCTTAGCAGCCTGATTTGGTAACCACTATGCTACCAGAGCTCCTTCTTATAATTATAATCCTATTGCTACTGTAATCAAAGCTCAAACAGGCTTTGTCAAGTAGTATTGCTTTCATCTACAGCCCAGCCCACCCCCACCTGCTCTCTCCTGCCTCTGTCTGGCAAAACTTTGAGCATTCTGACTCGGTCTATAGTACTCTGCATTTTGTTAGTTAGAGCATTGCAGAAGAGAGAGTCAAAGGCAGCCCCTATACCAGCTTTACGACCCGTGGTTTCACCCAGCAAAGGCCTGTGACTGACCAGGCTCTATTGTGGATTGCATTGAAAAGCGTGTGTTTACAGCATTCCTTCACTACCTGTGGGCTTGTACCATGCACACCTTCAGAGTCTGTGGGGTCAGCTGCAGAAACCAACATTTGAAAATGTTGATGTTATTTAAAATAGATTGCCAGGACTTTATTCCTAATCATCTTAAAATAGAAGAGAAAATACAGTTTTCCTAGCTCTGAGGATGTCCCGGCATTCTCTCTGTGAGTCTGGGGCACAGACCAAGCAATGGGACCCTGAAGAGTGAGCTACTGCCCTGGAAATTCTACCAGCTTCAGGCTCACTAAGAACACAGGAGGACGGTGAGCAAGTATCAGGTCAGCGCCTGAGGACGGTACCCCTCAGTCCTTGATGGAGGAACAGGTAGAAGTGACCTCAGGGGCAGGCGATGGAGGGCCCAGCCAGTGAGAGACACCCTGGGATTGGATACTGTGGTATGTGTTGATTGCTTGTACTTATATGACTGTTAAGGGAGGCAGAACTTTGTGTCTGCCTTTACAGAGTATTTACGTAATTTTCCCTTAACAGGCTAACTTTGTGTTTAATCTCTGCCAAGAGCCAATGACCTCGTAGTTCAAACCTACCATGTTGTTGTTGTTGTGAAGTGCCATCGAGTCGTTTCCAACCCATAGCGACCTTGTATAGGGTTTCCAATGAGCAGCTGGTGAGCTTGAACCACTGACCTTGCAGTTCAAATGGCTTTGCAGTCTGGTACATTAACCCACAGCGCCACCCCAGGACTCCCAAACCCACCATAGGTGTGTACTGATCCAACAGTGCTACCCGAGGACTCCCCTTTTCTTTCAGGCTGTTATTTAACCTTAATCACCTTGCACCCTAAGTTACACTTTCTCATCTGCTTAAGGAGGGGAAGTATGTCTTGTAGTCCTCCATTCAAGAAGTTTTCTCTGACCCCTTTCTTCTTCATACAAATGGCGCATTGCATTAAATATTCTCAACATCGTTCTTAAAGGATCCTTGGTGACACCGTGGGTTAAGCGTTGGCCTGCTATTACTGCTGTGTTGGCAATTCAAACCCAACAACCGCTCCACTGAGAAATATGAGGCAGCCTGCTCGCATCAAAGGTGGTGCTGTAGGTTAATGCACTGGACTGCAACGTTGGTTTGAACCGTAAGGTTGGTGGCTCAAGGTCGCCAGCCGCTCCTCAGAAATCCTATACAGGATCGCTATGGGTCGGAACCTACTGGACAGCACTTAACAACAACAAGAAAACACTAAGGAGTCATTCTTAAGAGGATATAGTTCTGGGGTAGGCCTTGTCCTAAGAGGCATGGTAGAATTCATTCATTGGGCATTCATTCATTCATTCGCTCGAGCTGTGTGGCAGAGGAAATTGAGGTCCGTACCAGAGGAAAGCAGACTGAGTGGGCTCCATCCCGGCTCTGTTCTGTCTTCTGTGTGACCATGGACAAGGCCTCAGCCGCCATGGAAACACAACCAGATTAGTCTGGGAAATCTGTAAGGCCCTAACATTCTGAGTATAAAACTAGCAGACACTCACGAGCACGTGCTGATCTACAGGGAAACCTAAAAGTCCCGGCAGTCAAGCGGACTGCCTTGTGCTTCTGGGTCTTGTAAGTTTCACACCTCTGACAAGGTGCAGTCTTAACCACTTCTCCATCTCTTGTTTGGGCTGGAGACGTTTTGAGTTTAGTTTCTCTGACAGCTGACCACCTTCCTTAGCTTCGGGCTTCCCCAGGCTTTACCATATACATACATAGGTGACGTTGTCCTGGAGGCTGCCCCCGGGGAGTTTCAACATCCTTTTTCTGGCCCAGGTGGTGGGTCAGGGGTCTGCATGGGGGCCTCGGTGTGGAAGCTTGTGAGCTGGTCACCCCATGGACTCACCATTGTTTCCACCTACAGTCAGTTCAGACTATGAAGACTCTCCCTCTTGGGCCATAACAGATCTCTGCAGATGTCAGCAGGAGCATGATTATGTGCTCGGCTACAAACTGAAAAGGCTGGCAGTTCAAATCCACCCAGAGGTACCTGGGAAGAAAGGTTGGATGGTCTGAGGAAAGAAAGGTCACAGCCACTGAGAACCCTTCAGAGCAGTTGTACTCTGAAACACATGACATCTCCGTGAGTCAGAATTGACTCCACAGCCCTGGTGTTTTGGTTTTGATGGATGTGAACAGACGGTTATCAAATCCGAGACAGGCTCAGCACTGACCACCGTGGGTGTGTCATCAGCAGAGAAATAACTGTGGATCTGTTTGTTACGGGACTTGATCGACTGAAAGAACATTCAAGGATCTCCACCAGGAACTCCCAAGGGCCACAGAGTCAGAAGAACGGATGTTTGCCACCTTTGTCCTCAGGGATGGAAATGTCTCCCCTAACAGAGGCTCTTTGATTGAGGTTGACCTGACAAAACTAGCTTGTTGTCACTTCTGGAAATGTCCACAGGACCCCACCTTGTTCTTCCATCCTTTGCCTCCTCAGAATGTCCTCAAAGGAAGCAAACTGTCTGGTTTCCATGCTGTGGGGTTTTCTTGGCAGAAGCTCTGTGGGTTTCCACAAGATGAGAGGCTGTAAGTCGAGAAAGGATACCAGGAGATGGCTTTGGTTATGCCCAAGCCAGGACTGGTGTGTGCCTCTGACCCTGGGAACTAGTGGTGACTGGCCCTAGACAAGTAACCACCTTCAGTCCTTTCTGGGTATAAGTAAATCTTCTCTTCTTAATCCTAGGAAATTGATTTGCTCCTAGCTTTGAGTCCAGCCAGGTATGTTTGTTGTGGACGCTGGTGTTTCAGCAAGCCAAACATGGACTTTGCTTTGTTTGCAGGGAGAGGCGACATCCAGCCTCAGTTGGACAGTGCGCTCCAAGATGTCAACGATAAGTATCTCCTGTTGGAAGAAACCGAGAAGCAGGCTGTGCGCAAGGCTTTGATTGAAGAGCGTGGCCGGTTCTGCACGTTCATCTCTATGCTGCGGCCAGTGATCGTAAGTTTGTGGAAAGCAGGGGAGGCGTTTCCTCCTTGCTTATCCACACTTCTGCTAGGTGTTGGGAATCATGATTCCCATCAGTAATGGCTGCTTGGCTTGCACTTTGCTAACAGTTCTTAATACCAGTTTTTCCACGTACTTTGCCTCCCCAAGTCAACACAGTGTAGCAGGTGGTTCTCCAAGTGTGGTTCCAGGCCAGCCAGCATCACTAGGAACTGGTAAACCTGAGACCTCTGAATCCCAGGCTCTGAGGATGGTAGATTGGCCATTTGTGTTTCAGCAACCCCGTCAGGTGATTCTGAGACTCACTGGCCAAGCAGAATACACATAACTGACCATGTGGCTAATATAGGAAGAGCCACAAGCAGTCCCTGTAGGCTATTTTTAAAGTAAACTGTGTTTACATGCCATAACTGAGAACTGCTGCCATTGGTTTTCTCCAGGTTGTTGAGAAAAAACAAACTTACATCCCTCAGGCCTACCAAATGTCTCCCTATGAGTTGTCTCGGGGGCATAGAGCTTACCCACAGTCCCAGCTTGGCGCTTTAGTAAAGTGAATTGAATGTGTCTCCCATGGGTCCTTGCTTCCTTCTTACTTGTCATTGATTATGTTGGTAGAGGAAACAAAGAAGGGGGACAGTTAACCTCTACTGAGTACGCACATGCTGGTGCTAGAATCTGCCTTTATATCTGGGCCTAAATAGCTCCAAATTGCATCATCTGTTGAAACCATTGACTTCCCAGGAGGGCCTCCTCAGCTTGTGGAAAGCAGGGGAACCCTCAAGAATACAAGTCAGGTTTTCTGAACAGACCTAATGCGCCCCCTCAGATATTTCCAGAAAGGCACCTGTGCTGGCTTGTTGACCACTGGCCTACGCTCTTAGGTCACTTCAAGCTTATGGAAGACTTCCCTTCCATTTTCCCAGAGAATGGGCTCGTAGTGCCCTCAGCAAAGATGTACGGATCCCAGTGTGCCTTTTCTGAGAAGTCGAATGGCTTTCACCGTGATCTGAGTATTAGTGACAAATGGGGCCAAGACCATCAAGTTGGCCACTAAAGAGGGTAACTCCCATGCCTCACTTTCCCTCAGGAAGAAGAGATCTCAATGCTAGGGGAAATCACTCACCTGCAGACCATATCGGAAGATCTCAAGAGCCTGACTATGGACCCTCACAAACTGCCCGCCTCCAGTGAGCAGGTAGGAGTCGGAAGGGGTGGGCGAGCTGAGCACTCAGGGGAGCAAACCATGCAGAGAACAGTCAAAATCCTGAGTACACCCCCAGGATTGTCACATTGTTATTCATCTCTGTATTGCACTATACCCCCCAAGCTTTTTTGTATGGTCATCACAATAGCTGACCATTGTGTGTGCCAGGTAGAAGCCCTGGTGGTGTCATGGGTTAAGCATCAGGCTGCTAACCTCAGAAATTCGAATAGATAAGCTGCTCCCCAGAAGAAAGATGTGTCAGTTTGTTTCCATAAATGCTGTTAAGTGCCATTGCGTAGGGTCTGACTCATAGCGATGCTTTCCTGTACAGGGTTCTGAGACTAAATCTTTCTGGGAGCAGAAAACCTTAACTTTCTCCCACAAGAGCAGCTGGTGGGCTGGAACCACCAAACTTGTGCTTTTCCTGTAATTCCATTGCACTCCCCTCTGTAAAGATTCCAGCCTTGGAAACCCTCTGGAACACGTCTCCTCTGTCCTCACCGAGTCCAAGCAGTTGATGGCAGTGGGTTAGTTACACCAGCCCTGAAGACACGCAGTGTGTCAAACACTCGGCCGCTCACTGTAAGGTCGCCAGTTCGAATCCACGAGCTGCGCTGCAGGGTGAGAAATGAGGCAGTCTGCTTCTGTAAAGATGCAGAGCCTTGGAAACCTTACAGGGCAATTCAGCTCTATGGCAGTGGACTGGGTGTGCCCGGCATTGTTCTAGCATCTTCCCGTCAGTTGGTTCAGTTCGTTGTCATTATTTCCCCATTTTGTAGAGGAGGATTCTAAGGCTCTGGGAGGTGAAGTAACTGAACCGGGTTTACTTAATTCATGAACGAAGTGATCACACCCCTAAGTCCATACTCTAAAGTGCTGTCTTAATCCACCTTCTGGATGAATCGTCTGGTCAGGTCATCATAATCCGCCTTCCTCACTGCGTCTCAGTTTCCCAGTGCAGCGATGCAGGGGATCTCTCGTCTTGGGAAAAGGGGACCTCTTTGTGCTTTCTTCACTTGGCTCCTGAGACATCACCACCAGAGCACATGGAAAGAGACGTGTATGAGGGAGCATCTGTGGAGTCGCGTCCCACCTGCTGCCCTTGTTGCCTCCTAAGAGAGCCGGCTCAGCAGGCAACTCTGGAAACTTGTGTTTTCCATTTGATGCATTCGCTCTGATCAAACCACATGCATGTGTACATTACTGACCACCTGCTATGGGAGTGCAGTGTCTCTGTAGAATAAGCACTGGACTGTGAACCACAAGGTCAGTGGTTATAGCCCACCAGCTACTCTGTGGGAGAAAGATGTGGGTTTTCATCTCCCACAAACGTTTATAGCCTCAGAAACCCTATACAGGGTCTCTGTGAGGTAGAACTGATGCACTTAACAGCAACAACACTGTGAGTGAAAATGGGATTTTCGCTCTCAATTAGCTTTGTCAAGCAAGGGAGACAGACAAGGAAATAATGGTGAAAAATTGTGAAAGAATTGGCTCATTCTTGATCATCCCATGTTTTAAATTTTCTAGTCTTAGTGTAACCCAACACGAGTGGCCGTTTGGTACTGAGTCATTGAAATACAAGATGAACATATCCTAAAGCTCGGACCCCCTTTGCAGTGTGCCATGATTTCCTGGGAATTCCAGTCTGGGGTGAAAAGTCAGTTGTTTTGGCTAAATTGTTCATCTGTCACTCTAAATCTCTTTCTTTTTTTTCTCTTATTGACTATTATTTCATGGTTTTCCTTTTCCTTGCCCCCATTAATTACATGTTTGCTTGTCTCAGAAAAAGGATTATGACATTGATGGATTGGCAGATTCCACTGATGAATGGAAATTCACACACACACACACAAATTATTTTAACTGTAACCTCAGCCCTCATGATGGCAGAATGCCAGTGTTGTGAAAACAGTTTTCCTTTAGCAAATAAAACATGTTTCCCTCCTTACCACTTGGCTCACGCCGTCAACTTTGTCTCTCTAGGTGATTTTGGACCTGAAAGGCTCTGACTACAGTTGGTCATATCAGACACCACCATCATCTCCCAGCACTGCCATGTCCCGAAAGTCCAGTGTCTGCAGGTAAGTGGAGCCACAGGGTCACTCCTGCGCTCGCAACAGGTTGTGATTCTAACGTGAGCTTCAAGCAGGAAACAGTGCTGTGAGCAGCTGGAAGATGCTGTCCAGATTTCAGACTCTTTAGTCTCTGAACTCATTTCGGATCAGTAAGAAAAACATAGGAGCCTTTGGCTAGAGGACAGTTGCTTGCCCTTTCCATTGCTTGCTGTAGGGGTCTTTCCTGTTTTATGGACTTGCATTTGGATTTCCTGGTTAGCAAAGTGAAACTCACTAGAACTTAGAAAAGGTGAACATGGGTTGATTTTATACCGGTTGATCTCATTGAAACCAAAGCAAGTGAAGAAAGTAACAATGGTCTATGCACTCATTCCCCTCAAAAGTGGTGTCTCCAGGTTTCACAAAGTACATGAAGCTCTTGTTCTGTTCCCCACGACTACTACCTCCACCCTGTGTAAAATACTTTTTGCCACTGTCTTTGTTCTCTGGTACCAGAGCTACCACAAATGGATGCCTTTAACAAACAGAAATCTTTCGCTCACAGTTTAGGAAGCTAGAATCCAAATTCAGCGCTAGGGGAAGTCCTTATCTACTTTCAGCATTTGTGGGCCTTCGAGATCTCTGGGTGTCAAGTGTCCCTGGGTCTAGGAGGTTCTCGGCACAGGACCTTGGGTCCAAAGGACAAGCTCTCTTCCAGCTCTTCTTTCTTGGTAGAACCAAAGTCTTTCCCTCTGCTTACTTCCCTCTACTTTTCTCTCTCATAAGATGAAAGGTCATTTTAGGCCACACCCCAGAGAGACACCCTTTATACCTGATCAGGTCTGTAACCCAGATGAGGGTGTTGCAGTCAGCCTTAAGACCCTGACAGTTGATTGGCTGATCATATCAGATCACATGTTGAGGGATGAGCAGCCTCTGTGGAGAGCCAACGCAGAGGACAAGTCTGCAAGCTTATACTTTCCATTCTATGCATTTGCTTATATTAGACCACACACACATACATGCATTTAGAACATCTGCTACATGAAGAAAGGAACGTTTTATAATCAAATAGCTCTTTGTCAAGCCTGGGAGACAGGTAGAAACGTGTGAGGAGTTCAGAATGTTCATGGAAAAATGGAATGAAAAGAATGGAACTTTTCCATGATCTTTGTGGAATTCCTTTGGAATTGTAAAATATTGATAAAATCATTGGTTTACTCTCAATTCTGCCGGGTTTTAAAACCTGGTGAAACACGTGTAGCCTAGTTTTTTAGTCACAAACTACAGTTAGCTGTTGAAACAGTCATAATCCATTGGAATCATTCTGCCCCTGTGCAAAACTGTGTTTTAGCAGTTTGCTACTAAAAGGCAATTCTTGGCATGCTGGCTGAAACCTCTGTTCTCCTCCTCATGAAGGATGGAAGCAGCATTGTGTATCACTTATCCTTTTTGGTACATTTGACAAATCTTTAATGTGACTCTTCAAAGCCAAATGAATTCGCTCATAGAGGAAAGGGCAGACTGGGCCTGTTGAGTTGGTGCACGGTAATGTCCCGTGTACATGCACACGCTTCCTCTCATACCACTGTGTGTACAGCAGACACCAGGAGGAAGCTGAGATCTTCATCCTGATGTTCTGCTTCTGGAAATCTTGGCTGGTGCTTGACCTCCTTCATGGGCTTTGTGCGTGTGAGAGACAAATTTTTTTTTAAACGTTTACTGTAACCTAAAAAAGTCTGTCTCATTAGTGGAAGACAAAGCTGCATGAGTCTGTCCTCTTTCTTGCTGTATTAGCTGAAATAGAAAATCTGATTGCACTCTCAGCATCAGCTGTGAGCTTGCTGGGGTAGAGCTGTCCCTAAGTGCCCTCTGTCCGCTGAGTGGGGAAAAACAGAACTCATGATAATTACCCGCCTCAGCAGTGATTTCATCTAGCTCCCTCCCCCAGGTCTTCCAGAACATTGTTGTAGCTGCCCCAGTTCACCTGGACCCCACGCACAAGGGGACAAAGTACGACCCACCTAGTCCTGCTTCACCCCCATGGTCAGTAGGGGATTGGACTCTTGTGATCCACAAGGTTTTCATTGGCTGCTTTTCAGAAGTAGATAGCCAGGCCTTTCTTCCGCATCTGTCTCAGTCTGAAAGCTCCTCTGAAACCTGTTCAGTATCCTAGCAACACTCAAGTCTTCACTGACACAGAGGTGGTGGCTGCATCTGAGGGATATTGGCCAGGAATTGGACCCTGGTATCCCCCAAGATAGGCAATGTTGGAACACTTTGTTGTTGTTGTTAAGTGCCATAGAGTCAGTGCTGACCGACCCATAGTGACGCTGTATAGGGTTTCCAAGGAGCTACTGGTGAGCTTGAACCACCAACCTGGAAGTTCAAATGACTTTGCAGTCTGGCTCATTAAGCCACAGCACCACACCAAGACTCACTTCTTGTTAAGTGCCATCAAGTCGATTCCAACTTATAGTAACCCTGTATAGGGTTAACGAAGGAGCTATAGTAGCGTAGTGATTACGAATCGGGCTGCGAACCTTAAGGTCAGCAGTTCGAAACTACCAGCTGTTCCGTGGGAGAACAATGAGGCTTTCTGCTGCTGTAAAGATTTACAGCCTCGGAAACCCTGTACAGGGTCGCTGTGGGTCGGAACCTACTCCACGGCAAACAACAACAACATAGGGTTAACGAGGAGTCACTGGTGAGCTTGAACCACCGACCTTGCAGTTCGAATGACTTTGCAGTCTGACGCATTAAGCCACAGCGCCACACCAGGACTCCTTAGGACTCGTTGTTGTTATGTGCCGTGGAGTCGGTTCCGACTCACAGCGACCCTGTACAGGGTTTCCGTGGCTGTAAATCTTTACGGGAGCAGAAAGCCTCATCTTTCTCCCACGGAACAGCTGGTAGTTTCGAACTGCTGACCTTGCAGTTTGCAGCCCGATTCATAACCGCTACGCTACCAGGACTCATTAGCACCCAAGTAATTCTAGTATAGAAGAGTCTCACAACCTGTGACTACTGTATTAGCTGCCCGAGTTTGCAAACTGAATCTTTGTGCTGATACTTCAACAACTACCCTTTAATTCCCAGCTCTTCTTGTGATGACCGTGGGGCGTTGTTCAGTTTTCTGTTTTTCATAATGTGAACCTGTCTGCGGAGTGCAGAGACTACATCTTAGGGCTGGAAGTAGAACACCCCAGGGCATGTATAACTTTCCAGCATCCTTGTTTGCGGTTCCATCTCGGAAGCAAACAGTTTAGCATTGATTGCCTTAGTCAGTGAAAGTGGCCTGTCTCCTGCCAGGTGTGCTGTGGTGCCAAACCTGCTGATAATTTAACAGAGAAACACACCTGTAGTTGGGGTCCAGCCGTTAATTAAATGATTGCCTTTGTCAGTAAAGGTGAATCTAGTATACAAACACCACCACCACATCACGTGTTGTCAGAGTAGAACTCCTCCACAGGGTTTTCAGTGGCTGAGGTTGAGTAAGTGGATCATGTGGTCTTTCTTCTGAGGTGCCTTTGGATGGGCTCAAACTACCAACCTTTCAGTTAGCAGCCAAGTCTTTTCAACATTTGCCCCATTTAGAAACTCCCTCATAAGCATACTGAATCGATTGGCTGATATTCCTTGCTGGGATCTTGAATCAGAGTCACCTGGAGTGAACTCACCTTCAGTGACGCTCATTTGGCACCTACACCCCAAAAGCGAGAGCTGGCTGGAGTGACCTTGGCCAGCTGGAGATGGTCCATCTGAGGGAGCCAGACGCACCCACAGACAGTTCACAGTGGAGTTTAGTGGGATATGGCACAGGGTCATAGTCCTGCAAGCAGGTGAGCAGGTAAAATCAGCCCGATCTCTCTGCAGGCAGCGGACAGCCCATCCTTGACTTTGATCAAGGACTTAGTGGAGCCAGGCAGCTACTGAGCATAGAGTGGAGAATGAATTACAGCCTCGGTCCTGAGGCTGCCTCGCTGCATCCTGGAGACTGTTGTCCCCCGCTTGCTCACTACGGCTCATGATGGAGTGATTTGGAAACAGACTTTCTTGGTGGGCGGTGCTTCTCCCACACCTGGGCAGAGAGCTGATTGTAGCCTGTTGTGCTCCGCCCTCTGTGTTCTCACTCCCTGTGCTGACGATTCCCCCTGCCCTCTCCCCTCACAGCAGCCTGAACAGTGTCAACAGCAGCGACTCGCGGTCCAGCGGCTCCCACTCACATTCCCCCAGCTCACATTACCGCTACCGCAGCTCCAACCTGCCTCAGCAGGCTCCTGTACGGCTGTCCAGCGTGTCCTCCCACGACTCCGGGTTCATCTCCCAGGACGCCTTCCAATCCAAGTCACCATCCCCCATGCCGCCAGAGGCCCCCAACCAGGTAAGGAGCAGCCATCACACCCAGGCCTCTGACAGACTCTGGTTTAATAGCCCATCCTGGACATATATATTGTCACCCAACAAAAGAGATGCCGTAATTGAGCCAGAAGCTGTGTCTGTAGTGACTGTTGATCTACTACACTGATGTGGGAGCTTTCACACTCAGGAGACAGACTGAGACTCCAGTCTCTCCTTGCCTCCTTAGCACGAAGCTGTGGTCGCCTCCATGCCCACCACAGCTTCCCTCTGAATGTCTGAGTCTATCATTGAATATCCCTTCAGACTCCATTCCTGGTTCCCATTATGATTTTTGTTGAGAATGAGGAGGCATCAGAGCTTCTTCATAACAAAGTGGACGCTTTGCTCCTGGGAGAAGGGGAGTTTTGAGTCTCTTTGTTCACACTTGCATTAGATGGTGCTAGGCCCACCCCAGCCAGCAGGTTTCAGGACAGGATTCATAGGCAGAGCTGGTGCCTCCTTCCCACGTGGCCCCTTCTCTCTTGGTGCCAGCAGGTTGGCATCTGGCTAAACACGACCTTCGGGGACTCCATAGGGCATCTATCTGCTGGGATGCATGGTGGCTTTGAACCCATCACCCTCATATGATTTTTGAGCCTGACCACGAAATCCTTGGACTCAGCATTCACATGCTTGTCTTGTTTACTCAGACATCCCGTTTTCCGCCATTCACAGGTTATTACTGTGTACCTGGTCCTATCCCAGGACCTCCTACCTCTGCCGTCCTCCCAACAGCCATGCACTCTATGGCTAACCCTATTTTTTTGTGAGTAAACAGGCTCTGAGTTACGCAGTCACACGACCTGCCAGACACGCCCTGGAGCATAGGTGTGTCTGGCTGCCGCCCCAGGCCTTTTCTGCTCCACATCGTCCTCAAAGCCCTCCTGGTGGAGTATACTGGAGAACATGTCATGTAGAGAAACCTAGGCCAGAGGGTGTCTGGCGCCAGTCGGCAGCCATTCCAGCCGGCAGGACACCAGCGCGGCCTCTCTCTCTTCCCTGGATAGAAGGTCATTTCCAGTGGAAAGGCTCGGAGCTGGGAGCTGCAGCTAATGTTCTAGTCTCTTATGAGGTGCTTGGTTTTCAAGGGTCAAATCCCACTCTCTCACCCCCTGACCTGCAGCAACACTAAACCAGACCTCGTGTCCTGCAAGCAGAGCGTGGACATGGTCAGCCCCAGAACAGAAGTTGGCATTGCCTCGAAGGCGCTTCTAACGTGCAAACTAATTCTACATGTGTTTTTAATCAGCTGACAAATTAACCCTGCTGGTGTGTACTAATACCCTTGCTGGAAACCAGACCACGTGTCAGCTTCACCAACAACTGTGTGTGTGTATGTGTGTGTATGTGTGTGTGTGTGTGTGTCTTGAGCACATGTGTGTGTCTTGAGCACATGTGTGTGTCACAGGAAAATGTGTGTGTGTGTTGGGCGGAAGCAGAGTGTGTCTACCTCCATATAGGAGTGAAGTAAGGGTACATGTGGTGGCTATGTGCCATGGGGTCGGTTCCAACTCATAGTGACCCTGCACAGGGTTTCCGAGGCTGTAAATCTTTACGGGAGCAGAAAGCCTCATCTTTTTCCCACAGAACAGCTGGTAGTTTCGAACTGCTGACATTGCGGTTCACAGCCTGATTCATAACCACTACGCTACCAGAGCTCCATAGGGGTGCAGGTGGAGATTCACTTAAATCTGAAAGCTGAAGCCCAAGCTATGCTTGTCTCGCAACGCATAGTTAATAAGCTCAGGATGGCTACAAAACTTAATAGAGAATCCTATTTTAAAAATAGGCATTAGGAAAAAAAAAATAGGCATTAGGGCTGCTTATAATTGTAAGGTGGATGAGCCCACCACCATTCTCAGCCTCCTGGCCAGGGCCCAATTCATAGCCACCCTGAGAAGTGCCCCATAGGGTTTCCAAGGCTGTCATCTTGATGGGCGCAGACTCAGCCACAGCTTTCTCCCACAGAGCAGCTGGTCCGTTCAAACTGCTGAGTGTTCAGGTGGCAGCCGAGTGTTTCAATCACTGCACCACCAGGGCTCCTAAGATAGAGTGGAAAGTCAAGAAATTTTGCAGATGATATCGGCCAGAGTGCGGGATGTTCCAAAGGCGGTCACATAAGCAGTCCAGTAGTGCTGTGTAGGATGGGCAGAGGGTGTTTAGGAGCAGAGTCCCTTGGTCTCTCCATTCAGTGATGCACTAGATATGAAAGTCGTCCTCGCTCCCTCCTCTTCACTCCTCAAAGTGTACCCATGAGTTCCCCGTGAGTCTCTCACCCCAAATCTGGTGACTTCCCCCAAGGCCAGCTGCTCTGAAGGAAAATGGAGCCAAGCGTCTTAGAGCGGGTTCTGTTAGCTGCTGTTTGTACCAATCCCGCCGAGTCAGTGACCCCGTGTGACAGGGCAGAACTGCCCCAAAGCATGCTTACCTATGGCGTCACCAGAGCATCTTTGGGGTTCTTTTTTTCTCCCAACCTGAACATACTTGACTCCAGGGCTTCAGAGACTGGAAATCTTTGCAAGAGCAGAAAACCTCATCTTTTGCCCCCGTAGTTGCTGGTGGGCTCAAACCACTGACCTTGTGGTTTGAAGTCCAGTGCTTACCCTGTAGAGTAGCCACACTCTCTCTATTTGAATTTGAGAAGCCAAAATTAAGGGCCCTGGTAAAATTACAATGTTAACAATGACTTGTTGACAAGTTAGTTAAGCACAGAATGGGTATGTGTGTCACTTGGACCCCTGGTGGCGCATCGGTTAAAGTGTTCAGCTGCAAACCAAAAGCTCAGCAGTTTCAACCCACCGGCCCCTCCATGGGAGAAAGATGTGGCATTAGGTTTCCATAAGACCACAGCATTGAAAACCCATGGGGCAGCTTTCCCCTGTCCTTGACAGTCCCTGTGAGTTTGGACCACTCAGCAGTAGTGCCATTGGGTTTTTTGTTTAGTGTGTCATTTAAGCTTCATTTGCTAGTTGTAAGTCAGTTCCGATTCATAGTGAGTCTGTATAGGGTTTCTGATGAGTGGCTGGTGAGTTGCAGGCTGTTAATCTAGATGTAAAAATATTGGGGTTTAGAGAGATTGTGTCCACCGTTTCGCACCTGGGGAGGGGCAGAAATAGGACTTTAATTACATTTCGAGACTCCAGGTCCTTGAAGGCTAATCAGACCCTGACTGAGCTCAGGATGCAGCTGGGACGACAGCCATGTGTCCTCCCTCTCCTGGCGTCAGCTGGGTGAAGCCCCAGGCATTAGTGTCCTCTCGGCTCTTGCCCTTGTAGGATGAGGGTGCTGTACCCCTATACTGGAACCTTTCTTTAAGGGCAATGACTGGCACCTTGGCAATTACAGTGAATGTGGAAACACGTTCTGGGGCATGAAGTCATACCCCTTGGTGGAGACAGGATGGGCTTATTCACACAATTTGAGATGAACCAAAGATAGCTGTTCATCTCTGAGAAACTTAAGCAAGTACCTAGATGGGCAGAAGGCAACGACACCCCAGTTTATGTGTGTGTGTGTGGGGGTGCACTCTCCCTTGTCCACTTGGGATTGGTTGAGCCACTGCCCTGTATCAGGAACAGAACAAAAATGTGGGGTGCAAAGGTGAGCCCACAAACCCAGTCCCTACGTCCAGCCGGGCAGGGACTCGGCTAAGCATCAGGAAAGCCATGGAGCAGAGGTCAGGAGACAGGCAGGCAGATCAGCATGAAGACTTGTTTCAGTCATGCTCCCCATCTCTCCAGACCTCATGGCTCCCCCGCAGCCCCATTGTTCTCACCATAGGGCTGCACTGGCCCAAACCTAAAAGAAGACATCTTGTGTAAAAGAAGCTTCAAAACCTCAATGATGCAAACATTCATTTGACCAAGGGAGATCCCAGGGACTGGAGCCAGAGCAGCCCCGTAGCAGAAACCAGGGAACCCTGGTGGTGCTGTAGGATAAGTACTGGACTGCTAAGTGTACAGGTGGCAGTTCATACCTACTAGTTGCTCTGCAGGAGAGAAAGGAGGCTTTCTGCTCCTGGGAAGATGTGCAGCCCAAGAAACCCTCCATGAGGTCTTTATGAGTTCGAACCAACTCCATGCCATTGAGGTGTTTTTTGAGTAGCAAAGTCCTGGAGGTCTGTCCTCAGGCAATAATAATGCCTGTGCACACAAGGGAGTCCCGTGTTGGTAGTTCAAGTCCACCCAGAAGCACTTTGGAGAAAAGGTCTGACTCTCTGCTTCCGAACAATGAGCAATAGGAACCCCCGCGGAGCAGTTAGACTATGACACACGTGTGAGGGTGAATGAGTGAGAATTGACCGGATGGTACCTCGGCTCGGGACATGTGGAGAAAACCCCAACAGGACACACGGCATGCTGGGTTTTGTAAAGACCCATGGGAATTTGTGTTCTGGGGGGAGGGGGGTCTAGCGCTCCGCGGGTCTCCCACTTCTCAGGGGACTGCCGCCTCCATGTGGGTCTCCTGCCAGGGAAACTGAAGGCCCTAACCCTCTGCTTCTCTTGTCCTTCCCTCCTCCATGTATGTCTGTCTCTCTGTGCGTGCCCTCCGGCTCCCTCTTGTTTGTCTGGTGGCTTGTGGCTTGGTTTCTGTTGCCCCCCTCTTGTGGCCCTGTCCCTGCTGCAGAACTCGTCCAGCTCGGCCTCCTCCGAAGCCTCCGAAACCTGCCAGTCAGTCAGCGAGTGCAGCTCCCCCACCTCAGTCAGCTCAGGGTCCACCATGGGCGCCTGGGTGTCCACAGAGAAGGTGACGACCACACTGCACCCGCCTTTCCCCACCCCTCCCCTGCTGCCCCACCATGGCCCAGGAAGCTGGGTGCTAAGAGGAGACTGGCAGAGCGAGCAGGGTCCTTCTTGGGAACGGAGGGAGGGAAACTGCAGAGGGCAGTGATTCACTGTGGGTCCAGGGAGTTCAGAGGTGTGAAGTCATAGTCTCAGGGCAGGTGTGAGGGGGTCACCTACCTCCTTCCCTCCCCAATCCCCTACCTCCTTGTCACCATCCCCTTGGACATTTCACTATGTCAGCGGCTGTGTGCTTTGCTGCCTTTTCGTTTGCACCCCACCATTCTTGCCACCCCAATTTGGCACCTTCCCCCGGAACAGTCTGATGATCCGGGAAGCCTCAAATGAACAGATGTGTATGAAGGCTTTGGAGAAGTTTTGAATCAGCCTGTGACATGCACAGTCTCCATGACATTACGCCGCGGCGGCAGTTAACCAGAAAACCCGTTGAGAACGCCAGCGTTGAAGTAGGCAAGCTGGCTTCCAGACTGTTCTGAGCTGAAGGGAAAGCATCTCCGTGAGGGACTGCGAACTTGGTGTCCGACAACCCTGCAGTCTTTGCACCCTGGTGCCTTTTGCTTTGTCCCAGACCATGCATGTGCAGCAGAACCCAGGCATTTGCTGGAGTGAAAGAGACCCAGGGTTCCCTCCCCCCCTCGAATGTCAACACCATCTTGTGTCTCCACACTCATCCTGTTGTATTAATTTTTTTTTCCTTTTTTCCCCCCTTTTTGTTTGTTTTGTTTCCAGTTGTCTAATGGGTTTTCTCACTGTAGTTTATCAAGTGAATCCCATGTGGGGCCCGTGGGTGCAGGCCTTTTTCCTCATTGCCTGCCTGCCTCCCGCCTGCTCCCTCGGGTCACCTCTGTCCACCTTCCAGACTACGCTCATTATTACACCATTGGGCCCGGCATGTTCCCGTCATCTCAGATCCCTAGCTGGAAGGTTTGTGTCTCTCTTCCCCACTCCCCTCCTCTCCTCTCCTCTCCCTCCTCGCCTCTGTCCTCCAGCTCTTCTGTCCCATGTTCCTCACCCTACTCTCCCTCACCCCTTCCTTTCATTCTCTGCCTCCTTTCCAGAACACCTTTCCTTAAGTGAATTCCCACTGGGGTGGGAGGAGGACCAAAAAGCCAGGTGGTAGCTCTGAGGTAGCAATTTCCATCTGGAGCTGAGACTGGGGAGTCTAACTTTGG